GCAACATGGAAAGACGTGTGTAAAGGAAATCATCATTGAGAATGGAAAGACTGAGGTCATTCCGAAGAAGAAATCCAAAGAGAAGAAAGATATAACGGTGCTGCAAGGAGATGTGAAGAAGTACCGAGGGGTTAGACAGCGAAAGTGGGGCAAGTGGGCAGCAGAGATTCGAGATGCGCGGAGGAAAACTCGGCTTTGGTTGGGAACTTTTGACACTGCTGAAGAAGCTGCTTTGGCTTATGACAAGGCGGCCATTGAAATAAGAGGTGCTAATACTTTTACAAACATCCTCAAGCCACCACCAAGGGAGATGCTTCAAACAGATGATGCTAGGGTTTGATAAATGCTTCACAATTTTTTCTGTACCTTTTCTGAATTGGTAAACTTGGCTAGTTCCCAACTAATTGGAATGCTCTGTTTCTTAAGCGTGTGATTTCATAACATGTTTGCCAATTATAAGATGTTTTTTTCTTTATCAATCTAGCCTCCTTTAATTTTGTGAACATGGGTTTGGTAATGCTTTTTAAATTTACAACATGTTTTGGATGTTGAAGAAACTGCAGTTTGCATTGTTAGCTGGCTTTATAATTTTTCTTTTTTGGAAGTTTCTCTTTTCTACATTTTATTCGGATATTTTGATTTGTCAATGTCTTTCAATGTTTATTTCTTTTTTGTCTTCTGAATTGATTTTAGCTTAATTTAACTTCATTTATTCAAGCATCTCTATGATGAGTAATATTAGTGTGTCAAAGGAAATAACTAATTACCATAGTTGTTACATGTCGATAGTAAAAGCCATGCATGAAAACGTGTGACGAGTAACGTGTATATGTAAGTTAAGCCATTCAAGTTTAGTTGTTTCTGCTTATGTTACTACATTTTGATATTTGACATGATTTCATCTGTCTTGACGCACATTTGTGAATCAAGCAATGTTGTTATAAGATCCTTCAGGATGCTCCCAAGTTTATGTAATGTATGTACTACATGAACTGAGAAAAGGAAATACTAGGTACAATTACGTGCTTTTACTCTTCTAAATAAACTAGCACTCTTAAAACAGTCATGATTTTTGTTTCTGTACTCTATAGAGTTTAGTTGATCTTCCATTTTTATAGTCCTACCTTACTGGCCAGGACATGTGACAACCCATACATCTTAAGTTCGTTTAATTTTTCTTTTTCCATATGGTTTTTGCATATTTTCAAATGGTTATGCATCTGGATTAAGGTAGATGTTTTAGTTATGTTTTATAGGAGTTTTTTGTGAAAACGTAGTAGAATGAATGATGCTCTTCCTGGGAAGTGGTGGCTTAATTCGTTTTTGTTTGTTTGTTCTCTTCTATTTATATTTCCTTCTAGAAGCTTATGAAGCGTTAGGGTACGATCACCTCATATTAATAAGATGCTCATTAAACAATTCTATAAAAAAAATTAACAAAGAAGGTATGATCATAAATGAAGTTTGATGCATGTCTGATCTGATGTACATTTCGTGCTTTGTTTTTTCATGAAGCCATGGCTTCCCAGGAAGAGCATCAGAAAAATGAGGCAGTCGAGAAACCCTCAGAAATTGATGTAGTTGAAAAACCCTCAGAAGTTGATGTAGTTGAAAAACCCTCAAAAATTGATCTAGTTGAAAAATCCATCAATCAGGTCGGAGAAAGTTCTGTGGTCCTGCCGCGTGTTGTGCGGATTCACTTACCGGACTCATCTAGTGACGATGAGGAGAAGGTTGAAGGAGAGAAGTCCAAGCGACATGAAAGGACGTGTGTGAAGGAAATAATCATCGAGAATGGAAAGACCACGGTCATCTCAAAGAAGATGTCCAGAGAGAAGAAAGATATAAAGCTGCTGCAAGAAAATGCGAAGAAACGGATTCACGTACCAGAGTCCGACGCCACAGACTCATCTAGTGACAATGAGGAGAAGGTTGAAGGAGAGAAGTCCAAGCGACATGCACGGATGTGTTTAAACGAAACCATCATCGAGAATGGAAAGACCCAGGTCATCTCAAAGAAGAAGTCCAATGAGAAGAAAGATGTAAAGCTGTTGCAAGAAAATGCGAAGAAACGGATTTGCGTACCGGACTGCGATGCCACAGACTCATCCAGTGGGGATGAGGAGAATGTTGAAGGAGAAAAGTCCAAGCGACATGAACTGACGGGTGCCAAGGAAATCGTCATTGAGAATGGAAAGACCGAGGTCATTTCAAAGAAGAAATCCAAAGAGAAGAAACATAAAAAGCTGCTGCAAGAAAATGTGAAGAAACGGATTCACGTGCTGGACCATGACACAACAGACTCATCTAGTGACGATGAGGTGAAGGCTGAAGGAAAGAAGTCACAGCAGCAGGAAAAGACGTGTGCAAAGGAAATCACCTTTGAAAATGGCAAGACCGAGGTCATTTCAAAGAAGAAATCCAAAGAGAAGAAAGATATAATGCTGCTGCAAGGAAATGTAAATAAATACCGAGGGGTTAGACAGCGCAAATGGGGCAAGTGGGCAGCAGAGATTCGAGATACAAGAAAGAGAACTCGAACTTGGTTGGGAACTTATGACACTGCTTATGAAGCGGCTTTGGCTTATGACAAGGCGGCCATTGAAATAAGAGGTGCTAATGCTTTGACAAACATCATCAAGCCGCCACCACGAAAGGAGATCAACATCATCTTCAAGATACCATCTTTGCCCGCCGATGATGCTAGGGTTTGATAAAGCTTCCCAACTTTACTGTAACTTTTTTTGATTGGTAAACTTGGAAGTTCCCAACTAATTGGTATGTTCTTTTTCTTAAAGCATGTGATATGACCATGACATGTTTTCTGGAACATTATGAACAAAGAAGCTTCTGTATTTATCACTCTCTTCTACTCTCCTTCCTTCAAGTTTGTGGAACAGGGGATTGGTAATGCTTTTTATGTATAGGTAACTGCTGCTTGCATTGTTAACTGGTTTATACTTCATTTTGGGTGTTTCTCTTTTCTATAGTTCAGTCGGATAAGTGTGTCGAAGGAAATAACTAATTACCATAGTGAACATGTCGATAATAAATGCCATGCATGAAAACATGTAAAGATTAACGTGTATATATTAGTACCTTGGACGTGAATTCAAGTTTAGTTTATATGCTTATGTTACTATATATGACATTTTTGACGTGATTTCATCTGTGTTACCTGTTACGCACTCGTGTGAATCAAGCAAGGTTATTGTGATCCTTCAGGATACTCCCAAGTTCATGAAGTGTAAGTGCTACATGATCTGAGAAGAAGATAGTAGGCGCAATTGCTACTGGCACTCTTTAAACAGTCATGAATTTGGTTCTTGTACACAATAGAGTTTAGTTGATCTTCCACTTTTATAGCCCTATCTTACTGAAAAGGACATGCGACAATCCATATATATTAATTTAGTTTATTTTTACCTTTTTCCATATGGTTTTTGCATATTTTTAAACTGTCATGTATCTGGATTAGAGGAAGATCTTTTAGTTATGTTTTTTTAGGATTTTTAATGAAATTTAGCAGGATGAGTGGTGATTTTTGCCAGAAGTTGGTGTCTCGCCCACAGAGTTTTTGATTCAATAAAAAACCAACATTGACAGTTGACATTTAGACTAGGTTTTTGGTGCAGAAATGGTGTGTGTGTGTGTGTGTTTTCCCCCTCCCAGTGTTATACAATATCCAATTCATTAGATAAATCATTCTGTGGCAGTGGCACCTTTATTGTTTTTTAAGTGGTCTTTTGGTCCTATCAGTGATTTATAAGCTAGCAGACAATATAGATAACTTCTGTCACTTTTATTTTTCTTTAATTTTAATTTTAGCTTATACTGTATAATAGTAAACTGAGATGAAACTTAATTGGGATGTCATGGATAACGAGAGTGCCCAATTTTTTGGGGTTGAGGTGTATTTGTTGTAGTATTCCCGGTTAAGATTTACAGCAACAGTAGCTCAAAAATGATATACTTAAGCGAAACAAGCTTTAGAGGGTATTTGGCTAAGCTGGTTACACTAAGCTTTTTGGCTTATCTACGTATTTGGTAAACACCCAAAGTGCGCTAAATGCTTGTAAGCTAAAATCAGCCATAAGCTGGTCGCTCCTAACTTATGGCTTTTCCACTTATAAGCACTTTTAGTTTGACCAACACTTTTACTAGTTTATCCTTAATAATATTTTGTAATTCACAAAATATTTTTTCCAAAATAATTTTTTTAACTTTATCTTTATTCCATATTCGTTGTTCACCCCTTTCTTTACAAACAAATTTTTTAATTTATAATCTTTTGTAAAGTTTTAAGGATTGTTTAGTCATTTAAATATAAGAACAACTTATCAGCACTTTTTAAACAAGACATATCAACTGTTTGTTATCAATTTCAGTATTTCTATCTAAACACGTAAATGTTTATTTAAAAAATTAGTTTCAACACTTAATATTTTTCAGCACTTCAAGCTTATCAGCTATTTACAATCAGCTAATCCACTAATCCAAACGGCTCTTAGTTTACAAGAACAAAAGTTTAAATGACTGTATATTTCTAGTTTCATTGAATTTTACTACAGTACTGAAGCAAATTATACATTCACAAGGAGCTTCTTTCTCCCTTGCAATACATTGAGAATCATAACTATAAAACACTATCAAACCAACTATCACAATGTTTATACTCAAATCAATATATTTCTTCATCAAAATGAATTACAGTCAGACCTCTCTATAACATCATCCCTATATAACAACACTTCACTATAAAAGCCAAGCTTTTCCGGAATCAATTTTCATGTTATGTTTTAATATATTTTCTCTATAACAACACTTTACTATAACATCCAAAATATTCGGAACAGATAACGGTGTTATAGAGAGGTTTGACTGTACTTGCGAATTCTGGTCTTTTGCACAGTTCTCACATAATCTAAGTGCCTTACAGATCTTACGTCAGTTGCCCTTTTAGATTTTTTTTTATAACTGTTGGAAGAAAAACATAAAACTACAAGAAAATCAATAAATATATCTTACCTTAAAACACAGTAACTGACAATATCAGTGTTCCAACCCTATAAATTTGCAAAAAAGAGCAGTTTCTGTGGGGTGCCACTTGCATATCATGCAAGTTTTGGTATTACAAATGTAGCCACAAAGAGACAACAATCAACCAGCTGCCACCTTCATATATACTCTGATATATCATAACTGAAACCACACAGAAAGAAGAATCAGAAAATCAGAGAGAGAGAGAGAGAGAGAGAGAGAGAGAGAGAGAGATTTTGAGTTTCTTGATTTTTCAAGCTAGGTATGTTCATGAATTCTCTCAGATTTTGTGCTGTTTAGTTAAGTTTTTGATGTTTGATTTTAATTCTGTGTGCTTCAACACGCAGAAAAACACACATTTAAATTTATATGTCTAAATTCCAGTGATGGATTTATAACATTTTTTCCGATGTATGTGCTGAATTTTTCTGTTTGAAACACTAGAGGAAGATGGACATCCTTTCCTCTCTCTCTTAATGAAATAGATATAGATGTTTTTGACTGTTGATATCCTTATAAACAACTCGATTCTGTTGATTTACTGTCTATTTTTCCTCTAGGGTTTTAACTTTTAAGTGAATCTAAAAGTTTTAAGTGAGTTGGTGTTTTGCGTCAATGGATGCAAAACTTGACATAAATAATACTATGTCTTTTTAAAGAATTCTTAAATATATATAGTTCGAGCTGAAGATAATAGATGCTTATGGTAAAGATTTTAAATGAATCTAAAAGTTTTAAGTGAGTTGGTGTTTTGTGACAATGGATACAAACCTTAACATAAATAGAACTATATGTTTTTGAAGAATTCTAAAGTTTATATAGTTTATTGATAAAATGTTCGTTATCCAATTATAGAGAAAAAAGTATTTATGATCATAATGCGCGTCTAACGTATTTTGTTCTTTCTTTCCTTTCATAAAGCCATGGCCTCCAAGGAAGAGCATCAAGAGAATGAGGCTATGGAAAAACCCTCAAAAAACGCCGGGGAAAGTTCCGCTATCCTTGCGCCTCTTGTACGGATGCACGATTCCCCTAATGACAAGGAAGAGAAGGCGGAAGGAGAGAAGTCAGAACGACATGAAAAGGCAATCATCATCGAGAATGAAAAGACTGATGCGAGAAAATGCGAAAAGAAGCTGCTGCAAGGAAATGCGAAGAAGTACAAAGGAGTTAGACAGCGAAAATGGGGCAAGTGGGTGGCAGAAGTACGCGATACAAGAAAAAAGAATCGGATTTGGTTAGGAACTTTTAACACTGCTGAAGAAGCCGCTTTGGCTTATGACAAAGCGGTCATTGAAATGAGAGGTGTTGATGCTGTGACAAACATCCTCAAGCCACCACCAAGGGAACCACCACCAAAGGAAATCAACTTCATTAATCCACCACCATCTTCATCTACTAGGGTTTGAGAAATTAATGCTTTACTGTTTTAATGTACTACTTTATATGAACTAGTAAATGTGGCTAACTCTCAACTTTCTTTTTTCTTAAAGTATGTAATATGACAAGTTTCCTGGACAATAGTGGAAAAATAAACTTGTATCTTTATCAATCTCTCTCCCTTTTTATTTTGGTGTTAATAAAGATAATTAGGGAAAATGCATAAGTACCCCCTCACCTATACCCGGATTCTCAACTACACACTTTTTCTTTGCGGAAATCCTATTACCCCCCTAAACTTTTTTTAAATGAAATTATTGCACCCTTAACGCTCACGTGGCAGAGTGTGTGTATTTCACTCTTCCAAAGGAGAGTGAGAAGCAAGAAAAAACGATTTTCAGATCATTTTTTATTCTTTTTTACCATTTTTTCTTACTTTTTTTTTCCTTTTCCTTTTCCTTTTGCTTTATATTTTTTCTTTTACTTTTTTTTTCGTTTCTTCTCTAATTCCGGCGGATATTCATTCACCGGCAACTTTGTCTAACCGTTTTTCTTCCATTTTTTCTTTTCCTACACACAAATTAAACTCTCAAAAAGATCTATTCATAAGCAAAGCAAAATACACTCAGATTTGGGGGGAAAAATTCATCATCGGAAAACCTTTCCATGCCGGAAAAAAATGATGTATTGAAATTTTAACTGGAAAAAGTCTTCTCAGCTTATATTCGTTTTTATTTCTTTTGCTCTTCCTCCCACACATAAATTACACTTTCAAGAAANTTCTTTTGCTCTTCCTCCCACACATAAATTATAATTCAAGAAATATATACATATATATAACAAAACACACTTAGATCGGGAAAAAAAAGTTCGCATGAAAAAATAGTGTTTGCGAAATTCCGACGACCACCATTTTATGCCGCCGGTGACCAAAACAAAAAGAAATAGAATGAAATAACCAAAAAAAATGAGAATAATAAGAAATAAGAAAAAAGGATAAGAAAAAGAAGAAAGAATAAAAAAAGTACTAAAAATACATGTGGGGGCGCGTGTAGTTCACCACTTGCCAAGAGTTTGGTTGTCAGCGTAAAGGGTGCAAATAATTCCATTTAAGAAAAGTTTAGGGGTAATAGAATTCCCGCAAAGAAAAAGTGTGTAGTTAAAAATGCGGGTATAGGTCAGGGGGTACTTATGCTTTTTCCCAAGATAATTATCTAACTAAAGCTAAGTAGCATTACAAAAGTCTCACAACTACATCCTATGGGGATTAGATACATGAGTAGTAGGAGACAAAGGCAGACTTATGTTGTAAAGAGAGGGATCACCGGTATCCGCTACTAGCTATAATTTTTATTAAGGGGTTGTCAAAATATATAAAAGTAAACATACGAGAAAACTAAGGGAAGTCAATACGTAATATGTATACATATAAAAAATTAATTACCTACCTAGATAGTGTATTTTTCCCGCGAAGGGGTGTCATTTAACACCCCTTCCTATAAGGTGGCTCCGTCATCGGGTACCCGGAATATTCGGCATAAATTTTATGTATACATGTATATGTTTTTAAAAATAGTGACAATATTAGTGGTGACACCCTATATACAAAACAGATTTGGTTGAATGAAAAAGTGCACCCACGATCTTCAAATTCTGGGTCTGCCACTGGTAGGAGATAAAGCATTATTACAAAACATTGAGGAGCCCAAAACAAGCCAAATTATTACACAAGCTTCCCATAATATTCTTCTTTTGTTGCGAAAAGGGAATTAAATTAAAATAAATTTTGTTTCGAATTTAATACAAAATAATTGAATTACTTGGAAATATCAATAAATAAGTATATTAGTACTTCATCGATATATTTTATTTCCTTCTCACTAATTATCCATTGTCCTTGCCTTATTTGTCATTTAATTAATGGTCATAATTAGGAAATAATAGACTTCTGAATTACCATTAGTACCAAACCCGGAGTAAGAGTTTGGTACTAATGCTTTTAAGTTTGCTGCATGTTTTTGGTGTAGAGGAGACTGTAGCTAGCTTGAATTGTTAAAATGGCTTGATTTAGGTTGGCTTCGAAGGATCGTATTAGAGCCGACTAAATTCGGATTTGCTCCGTAAAGTTCCACATTAGGGAGTGATCACGCCCAACTATGCCTTATAAAAAAGACTAAGCGGTCGCTGCAAATATAATCCGGTTTACAAGTCCGGAGTCGAATCCCACAGAGAACTAAGGTTTAGCTACAGCTGTTCACTATCACCAAGAAGACAAGCTTGAACAATTCCTAACTTATAGATATTAAGATTCTTCTGTTTAACTAATTAACTAACAAATTAAAATAGTAAATTAACAACTAACGATACTGAGGGTTAGAGAAAAGATTAAGGAGGTCTAGAGTTATGATTTTCCCAATTGTCGGAATCCTTCCCGCTATGTCTTCTATAATTTCGCCTAAGTATTCTCTACCGATCATGAGCACTCTTATTACCGTAAATCTCTCCCGAGTAATTACGACAATTTACTAGACGCGCTCTCCCGAGCTACGCTAGCTGGCTTTTAATACAGCTCACTTCAGATCGCACCCAAGGCTTCGTTATCCCTAATCCCACCTTTAAACCCTCGGTTATTGATCCCTCATATACTCTGGGAGTGGTGTTGTTCAACAATTACCTAAATATGCACTCTCTCCCGAGTTATGCATACTAAATAGGCACAGCTAATTGAGAGCTCTTCAACCAACCACAATATAAACGTAGTTGAACAAATAGAGAAAAGCTATGGCTCAATTATATAAAAACATAACAAGAATTTATCCTACAAAAGTTTCTATCAAACTCTAGATAACAAATTAGCTATTCATAATAGTATGTAAAACTAAAATACTAAAAGTCATAACCAACAATGAAAAATAGGAAGAGGAAGGAAAAACTCGTAAAAGAATTCTCCGCCTTGCTCCCAATGTGTTCTTGCCTCCTTAGGTCGAATCTATGTCCAAAATATGTCCCCTCTCTTCAAAATAGGTTTAGGACCCCTTTTATACAAGTTGGAATAGTGTAGGGCCGAAATAAACTTGTCCCGGACGAAATAGGACTTCTTTTTTACGCCTGGAGGGGCGCGGCCGCGGTCAAAACGCGGTAGGACCGCGGCCAGACAAGCTCTCTGATTTCTGCCGCGGTCAGTTCCGCGGTCGCGGTTTCGACCGAATTTTTCACCCTGTTCCGTTTGGAATTTGGAAAAACGTAAAACATGAAAGTTGTAGCCTTTGAATTAGATTTCCAACCATATATTGTGGAGCCCAAATGGAGTTCTGAGCAAAAAGTTATGTCTATTTTACTAGACAGTGCGCAATATGCCTCCTCAAGTCTTCGTTCGTACTTAATTATCAAATTTGACCCCGAACACGATCCCGGCTTAATTCCTTGAGCTTTTACTCAGACTTCAAAGCTTCAAATCACTTAAATTCATTCCATAACATCTATATAGCTCGGAATCACACCTACAAGGCATAAAACACAATTAGTGCAAAACACTAGCGATTAAAGCGCAAACTCAATTAAAGTGCAGTAAATTCGAGTGTAATAAGCGACTAAAATATGCAATTATAGCCTATCATCGGGGAGTAAAGCAGAGGCGTATCTAGAATTTCAACAGCATGGGTGCACCATTATCTTTTGAGATGGATATTTATTTGATTTAACTATATAAACTTTTATATGATACAACTAGTTGACGAGTAAACTATACTTCAACTATTAGCATCATTTACACGTCCTTGACGAGTTTCAATACTTTAAAAACTATCAATAATAGCATCATTACGTACCATTTTACATACCTTATGCTTTATATAGCAAATTAAAAATTATTTTAAAAAAAATTAATCCACAGATCATTTTTATGTACTTCTATTTCCTACAGATATGTTATTTGCATTTTTTGTTTATAGTGAGAGTTCAAGATTAATTTTATTATCTTTTCTAGCACTTTATTTTTTGATAAAATGTAAAAGTTTTTTTTTGATAAATCAACCATTCAATTTTGAAGTTCTCTTTATTAACAAACACTTACGACTTACTTCTATAAATGTTATCACTGATAATTTTCAAGAGGAAAAAATAAAAGCATATTCCATAAAACATTATGTTGAAGGAAAGAAAATATTTTTGTTTCAGGGATGGAGAAATTCAAAAGTCAAAAGAATGTCCAAGACAAAGAAACCAAAAAAGAAAAGAAAATAATAAAGGAACAGAATCATTTTTTTTTAGTTAAAAAGCCGAAAGGTGCAGGCTGGAATATTGGTTCATAGGCAGTTATTTAAGTAAGTAAACGAGAAAAAATTAGTCCGATACATAAGGAGGGGAGGGGATGTTAGAAAAATAATAATCGAAAACGAAATTGAAGAAGGCTTGAGGCGTGAGAACGACTTTCCTTAAAAAAGATATTGTCCGTATACAAATTGGGGAAATACAAACAATCTTCTTTACGATACAACAAGCCAAGAAATTACTTGCAGAATTTTTCTATATCCACTTTGTTGGAAGAACTTCTATTTATAGGCAACCATCAGACCTTTTCAAAAAAGATGTGTTCTTTCATAAACAGACGCATCTGTTTGTTCAAATAAAACAGATTTAATTGTAGAAATAAATAAAAAATAAAATATTTATTTTAGGTCCGGCCCGGATTAATATATATAATATCTATACTATATTAAAAGCACGAAGGCCCTTAGCGAAATGTCGTTCGTCTTTTTTGCCCTTTAAAAATAGAGTTCACACTAAATGAAATAGTCATTTAACCATTTTCTTAATATTTGAAAATATTTATTTAGTTAATTTCCTAATATTTAGGAATAGTCAATTAATTATTTTCCTTATATTTAGAGCTTTGATATTTGAATTTTCTTCCATTCTAGAAGTTCAATGACGGCATTCTAAGAATAGTCAAAAATAATATGCACACTATTTTTTCGGTCATAATATCATTTTAGGAAACCTTAAATCTTAGAGAATTCATTTAATTTTTCAATTCCTTCGTTAGGAAAGTTTAGTTCTTTTCAAATGCTTCCTAACAAAGTTTCGTTCTTTTTCAAACTCTTAAAAATATACTCCGAATTATATTAGACAAAATAGCAATTTA